TCCAAGTTATCCCATTACTGAAGCAAAATATAGAATATGCACTCAAAATTATGATTCATTATTTCATTGGAAACCTCATTTTAATTAGTGTTTACATCTCAAAATATCTGTCAGTCTGATTGCATCGCCTCTACTGAGTGACTAAATATTAATTATTGTTTGTTATTTCATACAAAAACTAAATTCAGCTTTCTTTTTCTTCATTCATAACATATTTTATTAAGCTTAGTTTACTCTATTAAATTATGCGGCATTTATATATTTTAATACATGCAGTTTGAATACTTATTTGTGTGCTAAGCAACAGTAGATGGTATGAGAGATAACCAAGCAAAATTTTGATTTACTGTTTCTGAAACCAAATTTATAATAAGTATGAAAATGACTAGGCTATTAAATTTCAACCTATTGAACCAAGAACTGTATTGTCAGGGTTTCACATGAAGATAATAGCACGGAACATTTGACTGACAGCCTATTTTTACACACTGAAGACAGAGTAACCCTCGCCTGCCAAGCCAGGGCTTTGGATTAAAGCAGGAGATAATAGGCAAAAGAATGACACTACAGGCAGAAATATGCATAGGTATGCCAGTGGCAGAGTTCACCCAGAAGCAATGTTAGCAGCCCATGTTTAGTGTGCTTAGAAAGCAAGAGTGATAGAAGCAGAATGACAGATAGCTATGAACAAACCTGGTTATGGATCATGTGCAAATGAATGAAGGCAGATGTAGGCGATTAACATTAAGAGGTTATTAAATTTGTTGAGGGTCTAGTAAAATTAACTGAAATAGGCTAAACAATATAAGTACCAGAACAATGGGAAGTCATAAGGCTTACACTGAAATCGTGTGGAAGAAAAAAGCATTGACGGGGCTTTCTGCACAGTGCCTTGGTTTAACATTTTTATTTAGTGCTTAACACTTCTTAGAATATGGCAGTTGATGTCTTGCATAGATGAAGGCAGGAGTGTGTGTGTGTGTGTGTGTGTGTGTGTGTGTGTGTGTGTGTGTGTG